ACCCCTATGAAATTGTTAGTCCCTTGTGTGAAACCGTGTAACTGTAAATCGCTCAGAGCCAGCAGCTCTGCCGGATTGAGCGATCAATGAATTGAAAGGTATTATTATTATTATTATTATTATTATTATTATTATTATTATTATTATTATTATTATTATTATTAACAGATGGGGTCACAAAGTGGTCCCAGAGCGACACGGTAGACTCCAGGGGGTACAGCGATCCGTCCTTTCTCCCAGGGCTGTCTCATTCCCCAATGACACCCACTCCATTTAGTGGTCGTGGTACGGTGGTGGTATAGAGGTGGCGGCGGCTCCTACTCAAAAGCCTGGCGGAAGAGCTCCGTCTCACAGGCCCTGCGGAACTGCGCCAGGTCCCGCAGGGCCCGGATCTCCTCCGGGAGCTCATTCCACCAGGTAGGAGCTGCCACCGAAAACGCCCTGGCCTTGGTAACAGCAAATTTAATATCTTTGGAACCTGGGGTTACCAGTCGATGTTGAGTCCCCGGCCGTAGTGCCCTTGGGGGAACATATGGGGAAAGGCGGTCCCTCATTTGTAACTTTGAACTTTTTATGAGGCTTTATTTGGGCCCCTACTAGGTTTTTATATGTCTTTGTAATAAACACTCTTTTGTACACTTTCTTATGTTTTTAACTTTTGGCCCTCGATAAGTTTTCTAAACTTTCTTTGGAGGCTTGTGCTTTGTCGGTTTAGATAGTTTCCCCTTTTTTGGGGGGGGCTCTTTTCTACTGGCAGGTGCTAAGAGAGGCAGGAGCGGGGGCATGGACGCCCCCCAAAAACTGGAACCAGTCCTGCCAGGGTACCTCCCTAGCCACCGCTAATCTTCTCACCGAGGAACCTCAGGAGGACCTCCAAACAGGACTGCACTCTGGTGGTGCCCACCTTGTCTTTCTTATCCAGCCGTACATCCTCCAGGTCTTCCATGATGAACTCGATCACTCTGAGGTGACCCCTCTGAGCTGCGCAATGCAGCAGGTTGCGGCCATTCTGAAAAACAGCGGAAGCAGATTTGAGTTATTTTTACTGCTTTTCTTTTGCCACCCAAAAGAAGGTATTGCAAATTTAAAGCTGGAGTCACCTCAAAGACTAAGACATGCAAGATAAACTGACACAACCGGAAGTTACAGAAGGGCATGGAGAATATTAGCACATATAGTGAGTGAAAAATTCTAGATTCCAGTTAATATATGGGTGGATAAACTGTCTTGAACTTGTTAATGGATTCTAATTTAGCAATTTCACATTGGATTCTCCCTTTGAAGGTCCCTTGCCTGAGAACAGGAATTACAACAAATTTAGTCAACAATAACTTACAGTTTTTGTTTAATAACTAAAGCTGCATTCAAATGGTATGCCAAACAGTGATTAAACTCTAGTTTAGTATGGTTTCCGAATGCTGGCTCTGTTTGGTGGGAAGCCCGTAAACCGGAATTCTGAACCAGAGTACCGTCATTACTTGTGAATGCCAGTTTGTAGTGAAGTTAGGTCAGTTACTATGGCTGATTTCAAGAATCTGAGGTTAATCCTGGTGAGTACCACAGCACCACCCCCAGAGTACAGAGTCGCAGCTGCAGAGATGCAAAATTTCCCTTGGTGCTTCGGTGAATGAAAACAGCCCAAGTTATATTTCCCTCCAGTGAGAAATTTAGAGATAGGTAGTTTTACCTCCTTTACTAGAAACTTCCTCACTCTGTCATGGAAATTTGCCAGGTGACTGTGGGCCAGTCGCTTTCTCTCTCAGCCCAGCCTACCTCACAGGGTTGTTGTGAGGATAAAACGGAGAAGGGGACAAAATGTTGCTCTGGGAGAAAAGCAGGGTCCAAATGAAATAAGGAAATAAATAAATAGAAAGGACGACAGCGCCTCCAAACCCCTCTTTCATCATCCGCTCTTTCTAATTTTTAAACGTTTCTTCAAAGAGGAAAAAGAGGGAACATATTTCAAGACCACAATTCTAGGAACGGCACGCAGACAAGAAGGAAACTCCTCTTAGAGGGATTCCGCCAGTGACATCGACATCACCCGGCTCCGTGCAGATAGCAGAACCCAGCTGAGCCCACGAGTTCCTCCCTGGTGAACTTCAGATCTTATATAGGCATCCCTGGGACGGGGGCTGTTATTCTTACTGCCTTGCGGCCGGCGCGCCCCATGAACAAACACAGCCAGCCTACACAGCCGCCTGCCTGCATGAAAGCTCTGCGTTGGAAGTCCCTGATCAGCCACACCTCCGGGCTCCTCACATGACCCATCCTGCATGTCTCAGTGGCGGGGAAACGCTCACTCCAAGCCAGTTCAAGTTCACATTGAGACCATTGGGCATACACCCTGAGAACTACAGGGCTTTGGGATGCTACTGCAAACCTTCTTGCGTGGGCACCAAGCTGACAGCTTCAGCCATACCTGTATACCATCCTCTCCCAAGGCATTTAAGGACGAAGGAGTCTCAGAGCGGCTTAGTCTCCTTTCCCTCCCCCTCCCCACAACGGACACCCGTTGAGGTAGGTGGGGTTGAGAGAGCTCTTTCGAGAACAGCTCTGAAACAACTTGTAACTGACCCAAGGTCACAGCAGCAGCTGCATGTGAAGGAGTGGGGGAATCAGACCTCATTCTCCCAGATAAGAGTCTGCCCTTACACCAAACTGGCCGAGGCCTTCCCCTGATGTTGCCTCCTGGCTCTGGGATTCAGAGGATCAGTGTCTCTGAATGTGGAGGTTCCCCTTAGTCGCCATGGCTAGGAGCCATCAACAGAATTCTCCTCCGTGAATCTATCTATAAGAACACCAGAAGAGCCCTGCTGGATCAGACCAGTGGTCCATCTAGTCCAGCATCCCGTCTCACACAGAGGCCAACCAGTTCCTCTGGAGGGCCAACAACAGGGCATAAAGACCGAAGCCTTCCCCTGATAAGAACACCAGAAGAGCCCTGCTGGATCAGACCAGTGGTCCATCTAGTCCAGCATCCCGTCTCACACAGAGGCCAACCAGTTCCTCTGGAGGGCCAACAACAGGGCAGAGGGGCCAAGGCCTTCCCCCGATGTTGCCTCCTGGCTCTGGGATCCAGAGAATGAGTGCCTCTGGATGTGGAGGTTCCCCTCAGCCACCATGGCTCGGAGCCACTGATAGATCTTTTCCCCATGAATCTATCTACTTCCTGGCAGCTGGCGGCCTTGGCCGATGATCTCCACCTAGCCTGTGGTGGGGCCGGTGGCACCTACAGCTCTTGCCGGATCACTCTGCTCCTCTGGGGGATGATGTGGGGCCTGGGCGGCTCCACTCATTCCCGGCTGGAGGGCCCAAAGTCAAAGCACTAGGAGGCCCGACAAAAAACGGACTTCCTTCACTATACGAACAATACCCTTCTGAAACATTGCAAGACCTACCAAGCCTGTGTGATATAGTAGGTACAGCACACGTGCACACACACACACACACGAAGGACCTTGAGAGAAATAGGCTGGCAAAACTACCTTCAGGTGGCTTTTGTAAATTTGGGAACTCCAAACACAAAGGCAGGAAGGTTTGGTAACGGTCTTTCCCCACATCGTCCCCCAACATGCCTTGACCGCTGGGGCGCTCGGGGAAAGACGCCTCACCTTGTTCACACGGCTGATTTTGGCACCGGCATTTACGAGCATCTGAAGGACACGCAGGTGGCCGAACCAAGCGGACAGCAGGAGCGCGTTCATCCCAAACTGGGCCGCCAGAAAGAAACAGAAGAAATGTCATTTTGTGTCTGGGTAAAAGTAAAGGAAAAGGTTTCCCTTGCTCGAAAGCCATTCGAGTCCGACTCTAGGGTTGCGGTGCTCATCTCCGTTTCAAAGCTGAAGAGCCAGCGCTGTCCAAAGACGTTTCCGTGGTCATGTGGCCGGCATGACTAAACACCAAGGCGCACGGAACGCTGTTACCTTCCCACCGAAGCGGTACCTATTTATCTACTTGCAATTTCTTGCTTTCGAACTGCTAGGTTGGCAGGAGCTGGAACTAGAGATGGGAGCTCACTCCGTCATGCGGCACACTCGGGTCTCGAACTGCTGAACTACCAACCTTCCACAGCCTGCAGTTCAGCATCTTAACCACTTGAGCATCTGGGGGAAGATGAAAATGAGTACACAAGGCCATGTTTCCCCGTTCTTTTCCCCCAAGGGCTGGCGACTTTTTGGATGAACAAGAAACACTTGTGAATTCTGAAGAAAGTGCTTTTATGATTATTCTCGCTTTGTGTGAAAAGGCACTTGAAGCAAAAGGGGGTGCTGTGGGGACTTACGATGTCCTCGTCGTCCACCAAGGCGTCGTGGTCGAGCAGAAGCCGCACCGCCTGCTCATGCCCCGCTCCTGCGGCCCAGTGGAGAGGCGTCCGGTCTATCTGGAAAGGAAGAGATTAATCAGGGGAAGAAAACAGGTGGGGAATCGACCAATGGCTCGCGAGTTGCAGGTGGCCTTTGGATCAAGAATGCCCTCACCTCATGCGCTTGAAGCGAGCCCTTTGGCACTATGAGTCTTCCAGGTGAAAGAGAGGCCTCCTCTTCCCTTGGACTTCCCTTTCCTACTTGTTAAGTATGACACTTAACTCAGAGGAACAGTTCAACAAGTGATTCAGCTTTATTTCAGCTCAGGAACAGTGAGAACTGCTAAGGACTAGACGAGCTAGACAATTCAATAGGCAAAAGGGCAACTTGTATACAATTCTGGCTGGAATAGCCACACCCACAATATTTACAGTATCCAATCACACTATGTGTATTACAACCAGGGCTATTTTGGGGCAGGAACGCACAGGAACGGAGTTCCGGCTGGCTCCCGAGTTGGCCACGCCCAGCAGGAACTCATTAGCATAATAGGCCACACCCAACAGCAGGAACTCATTAGAACTGGCTACATTAGGGGTGTGTGGCCTAACATGCAAAGGGTTCCTGCTCCAAAAAAAAGGCCCTGGGTTTTGACAACAAACAAGGTAAACAGAATAAGAAGCAAAAGGTGGGTGTGGCTGGATGACCACACTTCTGGTAATGTGGGGTGTGGCGTAATATGCGAATGAGCTGCTCTGTCAGGGGTGTGGCCTAATATGCTAATGTGTTTCTGCTGTTGGGTGTGGCCTGTTATGCTAATGAGTTCCTGCTGTGCTTTTTCTACAAAAAAAGCCCTGATTACAACCAATCATAACCAAGGGATAACGTCCAATCAAAACTATTCCCTCCAGAAGGCACACCATTGGTCAGTATTTACATGTTTCCCAATCCGCATAATGAGCAATGTTTGAAATGCTTTACCTTATGTCTCCTCAAGACATAACGCTACTCACATGGTGACACCTGCTTTGGGTGCAGGGATGCCAGCCTCCAGGTGAGATCTGGGGATCGCCTGGAATTGCAGCTCGTCTCCAGACGACCGAGATCAGTTCCTCTGGGGAAAATGGCTGCGTTGGAAGGTGGACCTAGAGTCCTGTGTGCAGTTCAGGAGGTCTCACTTTAAAAAGGACGTGGACAGAATTGAGCACGTGCCGAGAAGAGCGACGAGGATGATCGGGGGCCTGGAGACCAAGATGCCCTGTGAGGAAAGGCTGAGGGACTTGGAAATGTCCAGTCTGAAGAAGAGGAGGTTGAGGGGGGACAGGATGGCTCTCTTGAAGTATCTGAAGGGCTGTCACTTAGAGGAGGGCAGGGAGCCATTCCTGTTGGCAGCGGAGGAGAGGACTCGCAAGAATGGGTTTGAATTAAGGGCGGGAACAGGGGTCCTTTCGTAGAAAAAGAGCTAGGGGGACTCATTAGCATCACTCATTAGCATATGCCACACCCCCTGACATCACCGGAAGTGTGTCATAAGGCCACACCCCCTGACATCACCGGAAATGTGTCATAAGGCCACACATCCCGCCCCCAACGGTCCCGGCCGCCGCCGCCGGCCTTGCAGCTCCACTGCTGAGCCCCATGAGGGGCCCGGCGGTGGACCTGCAAGGCCGGCGGGAGTGCAAA